GAGCACAACTGGTCGCGACTTGCCTTGTCCCCGCCAAAAAGAGCCCGTATTTGCTTAGCATGTAAAAGCTACTGCAGTTGAAATGAGGGAGAAAAAAAAGCACTTACCGCTCTGACGTAATCCATCCTCGGCCAGATAACATAAAAAGAATGAGGGGGACTGGCATCGCATTTTTATCCAATAACGATGCAATGCATTATGGGACATGGACGCAATGCATTATGGGACATGGACGCAATGAATTATGGGATCACAGTAAGACGCAAGGGATTATGGGTACATGAACAACTATAAAAAAACAACTACTTTTTTCCAAGTCGGCGAGTTCTTCGAGGACGTTCACGGTTGACGGCTAGAACGGGCTGTTAGTGTGATTTGGAGACAGAACTCAGGAAGGAACGACTCAAGTTTGAAATACCAGTTGGGAGAGCTTGAATTTACTCGCTGGTTACTGTTTTCTTCATTCGCCTCATATTCTAATCTCATTCGTTACATTAGAAAGTGCATTTGCAAACAGTTGGGGTTCCATTGCGGAAAAAAAGTGTGAAAAACAAGAAATCAAATCGGTACCTCCTGGGATCTTTTCCTTTTCCTCGGTCGCTTTCTCGTAGTTGGAGTTGTCGATTCGAAGACTAACGTTGGTCACGTCGTCAATATTTCAGCCCAGTTTTCACTGTAACTCAGAGCAAACACCAGGTTCGTTGGCAGGATGAATTTTTTCATTCACGCGCTTGTGGCTTGAAAACCTTCGACCAGATCGTTACCTACGAGTGAAGAAACAAAACAATTTTCTAGCAGTAAAACTGGTTTTAATTATAGATTATACTTTACTACTATAAGCGAGCAAAGGCGAGTTGTGGTGTAGCTGAGAGGAGTGGTGCGCAGTCAGCGGTCGTCTTCTGTGTTTCTGTGTGGCCCGCGTCGTTTCTTCTACTTTGCCTTTTGAGCGGTATGGTCAGCTTTATAGACAACAGGCTTCTTTGTCCTGTCACCTTCGCCCAAAAAACAATTCATCTTACTTCCGCTCAGTCTGCGCTTTTGAAGTCGACCCAATTACTGATGGCCATCGGTCGAAAGAAAACATTCCGTATCGACTTGTCTTAAAATTTAGCTCATATTGCTACACACGTTAACCCATAAATATAGCCTACATTAAAACTATATTTAATCACACACACACACACACACACACACACACACACATATATATATATATATATATATATATATATATATATATATATATATATATACTGTTTGACCAACACAAGGACTGCCCAAATTTCATGTGAAAAAAAATTTAAAAAAATAACAAAATAAAAAAAATGAAAACTACAGAGAAAAGTTCATTTTTTCCATCAAGACATTAATTTCTGTACTTCATTGCTACCAGCAAGCAGATTTTTTCTCCTGATGATGGCCATGTTGGTCGAAACTAGTCAAGGAATCTAACTGAAATAATAAAAACGAAAGAATATTAATATACAACCTAGTGTGTCTGAAGATTTTAATTTTTAATATTTTTATTGTTCAAAACAGATATATATATATATATATATATATATATATATATATATATATATATATATGGTGCGATGTGTAAATTGTCGTCATTTCATATTTGTAATTTCGCGTTTGCTTTCTTTATTTTGTCGACTGCGCAATATACTAGAGTCAGTTGAGCTACGCCTGTAACCGCACGAGGACGCAATTCACTCCGCCAGAAATTTGGAAACTACTTTCTGTACTGCTTGGCATTCGCACCGGAAGCTCCAATAGCAACATTACAGAGTGTTTGGGTGTCAATCTGAGGACAGTACAGAGATTTCACAAAGAGTTGGATGATATATCCAATCAACATCATGGCGTTTGGAGGCATCACTTGTGATGGCGACGTTATTAATTAAAACGATTTCTGCGACCACATCACCATTTACATATGGCCATCTAACACCTCAGAGTGAAACCCTCCTGGTTATTATATGTGTGGTGCAGTTGAGCGAGACACAAACAAAACTCCTTCTAATACCAAAGATGAACTGAAGGCAAGTATTATGCCAGCATTCACCAACTTAAATAAGTGGACTGTCCAGAAGAATAGCAGAAGTTTCCGAAATGGTCTGGAGGCCATGTTTGAAGCCAATGGCGTTTTAATGGAATAAATTCACTCTTTAGTATTTCAATATATTTTTGTGTAAATCTGATAAATATATCTGTTAAAATAAGATGTCATGTTTTTGCGCAATTTGGCCAACAATTTCTGCATCGTACCTTTATATATATATATATATATATATATATATAATTATTTATTTAAAAATATGATTCCAAATCGCTACATAAGAGGTCTCATGTTTCAAAACAAGAGCCGAAAACTTCAATTTAATCCTTTAAATTAAATTGAGTTTAAATTAAAATGGGCTCCGTTCCATCTTCAAGGAAACTTTTTGGAACCTTATATATATATATATATATATATATATATATATATATATATATATATATATATATATAACAAACAGTAATTTTTAATTCATTTGTAACAAACAGTTATTTCTGATGAAAGATTGAGGACAATCTGAAATATCAAATATATATAAAATAAATAAATACTTTCATAAAATAAAACATTATTATTTTTTTTAATTTGCAATTTTATATATATATATGTATATATATATATATATATATATATGAGAAAAATCGTTTCGTCCTATGAGGCATTTTATATTGCATATAAATTTGTTGCGGAATCAAATTTGTCTTGATAATGTCCTTCAGAGGACGACATGCCTCGGCTAAGATAAGTTTTCTTTTGTCATTAATCATATTGTCTTTTTACAGATATATTTTTATGCATATCTGAATTTTTACACACACACGCGCAGGCACACAGACACACATATACACACAAACACATGCACAATCAATCGCGTGTCTAGCCACACTGAAGAGGTGTGATACAGCAAAACAGTGGGCTGTTCGTCGGTTGAGCACTTTTGAAGAAAGGGTATTTGACGGGTGCTGCTGGTTTAATGCTAAGCTCTTCGTTATGAATAGAGCACTCTGGCAGGTGGTAATGCTTATATCACGTATATAATGCGTTAAAAATTCTCTTTCTCGGTCAAGTTTCGATCCCGGCTTTAAGCAATCGCGTGTCTAGAAACATTGAACAGCTGTGATACAACGAAACAGTCTGTCTGTGGATGACTATATATATATATATATATATATATGTGTGTGTGTGTGTGTGTGTGTGTGTGTGTGTGTGTGTGTGTGGATTACATATATATATATATATGTATTAAGACATTTTTATGTTTATGCATTCTTTTTGAAGATACAAATATTTAAGTAAATGCTCTGTTTATAATAAACAGTATTAAACAACATTTACCGGCTTGAATGTCCGAGAAATTCTCACAGAAAATATTCGTCAAACTAAATGACGGTACCATATAGGATACAGGTTCGAATCCTGCCGAGTTTAACGTGGGTTTCCCAAGCCCGTAGGCTCGGCCAAAATGCCCGTAGAACCCGTATGAACGGGATCGGGTTGGTCAACCTCCCCGAACGAGACTCTGCCCTTCGACGGAGCCTCGTCCGGGTTCCTCTCTGCTCAGAGGCAGAGAGTTCGACCATCAAGCCGAGAAGCTCGTCTTGATTCGGTATCTAGCCCCCCCACGATGGTTGCATGTGGCACAAGGCCGAGTTTATCGTGGGTTTTCCGAGCCGTAGGCTCGGCCAAAAATATACGTATAACTCGTATAAACGAGACCGGGTTGGTCATTTCTCCCCGAACGAGATTCTGCCCTTCGGCGGAGCCTCGTCCGGGTTTCTCTCTGCTCAGAGGCAGAGAGTTCGACCGTCAAGCCGAGAAGCTCGGCTTGATTCGGTATCTCGCCACCCTCCCACGAGGGTTGCATGTGGCACAAGGCCGAGTTTAACGTGGGTTTCCCGAGCCCGTAGGCTCGGCCAAAAAATGCCCGTAGAACCCGTATAAACAGGATCAGGTTGGTCAACCTCCCCGAACGAGACTCTGCCCTTCTGCGGAGACTCCTCCGGGTTCATCTCTGCTCAGAGGCAGAGAGTTCGACCGTCAAGCCGAAAAGCTCGACTCGATTCGACCCTCTCTCTTGAGAGGCGTAGTATACATAGTGTTAGGAAGAGTTCATTCTGTAGTTATAGGTAAGGACCCATGACAACAATAATAATAATAATAATAATAATAATAATAATAATAAGAAGAAGAAGAAGAAGAAGAAGAAATGACGTTCAACATCATCATCATAATCAACAACAACAACAACAAGAACAGGAAAAAATAACTACCTAAAATTTAAGTAAGGAATCGAAAAATAAATGAAAAAAACGAAAAATTAAAAGAAGAAGTGGAATAAACAGTGACAATAATGAAAAAAAGAAACGAAAAAATGTCTTCCACGGCACAAAAATTGAATTATACACTCAAAAAAAGAGAAAATCAGAAGAAAAAAAAACGGAAAAACGATAAAAATATGCAAAAAAAAAGCAAAGAAAGGAAAGAGATATTGGTATGGTAGGGAAGGAAGAAAAAAATAAGCAACGAGAAGAAAAGAAAGAAAAAAACGAAGGAAGGAATGACATAAAAAATGAACAGATGAAAAAAAAAAATTGAAAGAAGTTCATATTAGAAAAATATAAAATAATAAATTTGGAAAAGGAAGGAGTGTGAAGAAAAGATTAGAATAGAATAAATAAATGATTGAAAATTTCGAAAGAAAAAAATCTTTCTTCATTCTCTTGATTCAAGAAGAGGAAAAAGAAAGGTTACTGAAGTTAGAATAGGAAGTTAAGGGAAAAAGAAGGAGTAGGAGAAGCCGGAGGATAGAAAGAAAGAAAGAAAGAAAGAAAGAAAGAAAGGACAAATTTAGAGAAAGAAAGAACGAAAAAAGAAAGACAGTGCGATTTTATAGAAAGAAAGAAAGAAAGAATATTTTTAGCAAAGAAAAAAGATGAATTTAGAGAAGAAAAGAACGATAAAACATGAAAGTATGAAAGAAAGAAAGAACGAATTTATAGAAGAAAAAAGAAAAAAGAAAGAAGGAGAAAAGAATGAAAGATGAGGCAATTTTATAGAAAGGAAGAAAGAAAAAAAGGATGTTTATGAAAAGAAAGAAAGAAAGAAAGAAAGAAAGAAAGAAAAAAGAAAGACTGACGATACACAGATAGGTGAAAGGAAAGGACAATTTCAGGGAAGGAAAAAATGAAAAAAAAAGACAGAAAGACACTCTGGACAATTTAATAGAAAGAAAGAAAGAAAGAAAGAAAGAAAGAAAGAATATTTTTAGAAAAGAAAAAAGATGAATTTAGAGAAGAAAAGAACGCTAAAACATGAGAGTATGAAAGAAAGAACGGATTTATAGAAGAAAAAAAGAAAAAAGAAAGAAAGAGAAAAGAATGAAAGATGAGCAATTTTATAGAAAGAAAGAAAGAAAGAAAGAAAGAAAGAAAAGCAAAAGAACTGAACGGGGTGGATGAAACCGGGGAAGCTTATAATGGAAATAACCGACGGGAAGGAAGAAGGAAAGGAAATGTGTGAAAGGAGTGGGTGCAAGCCGAGAACAGTATAAAACGACGGAAAGAAATGAAGGAGAAATGGAAATATTGAAGGGAATGGAAAGAAGTGGGTAGTAAAATGAATGATAGAAAAGAAAGGAAAGAAAAATAAAAAGGAAATGAAAAGAAAGAATGAAAGAAAAGTACTAATGCGTGAAAAGAAGCGAAGAATATAACGAAAGAAAGAAAAGAAGAAAAGAAAGAAAGAGGAAAATAAAGGATTCAAGGAAGTGGGGGAAATAGATACGTGTCAAAAAAAAAGAAGAAGAAGTAAGAGATGAAGGTTCGAAAAGAAAGAAAAAATAAATAACTGAAGCTAAGAGATATAAGTACAATGGTGCATAAGTCAGAAACTGGAACATAGCGGACGACAAAATAAGCGGCATTAATAAATAGAGTTCTCTTCTGCATCCTCATTTTCCCCAGCAGGAAAAAAACAAAAATGAAACTATTAAAAAAAAAAATAAGCATCTATAAATAGATGCTTGCTGTAAAATGATCTACAGATTCGTGGCGTTCTCAGACGGAAAAAAGAAAGGACGCCTCGTCGTGGTGAAAATCTAAACCAAACCTGAAAAAAATATAGAGAATTAATGTGGCGTGACGTGATGGTAGATAACAGTGGCGTATTTATTTCCGGTAACAACGGACAGCGTTCGAATATTAGGGTCGGTCAAGGGTTTCTCTGACGAAATTAATGCAAAGAGTACGGTCATTTGATGTCGATATGTCGAAAGACAGGTGTTCCGTAAGAGTTAAAATCATGTACGTTTTTATGCGTTAGTGGAATATAGACCACGGCGTAATTGTTGCTTATATTTGTATGACTTGTTTTTTTACTAAGGTGGTTATAACTTTACACACTTTCCTTTTTCTACCGCTATCTGTGAACTACCAAATTTCTTGGGAAAGATAGTGGAATGTTTTCTCATACCTTTCTTCTTGGTATTAATATTTGCCGTTGTACTTGTCTTAGACATCCATCCGACCCACCCACTGTACCATAGCTACTGCTTGGGAGGAACATGACGGCCCCAACATTTTGCAAGAACTGAGAACTAAGGTTTGATTTGGTTTATTTTGTTTTACGACGTATCAACCTGAATGGGTTATTTAATGTCGACAAGATATTTAGAATAGGTTTGTATGAATAGAATATGTATTCTTTGCAAGAAATCATATTGTAGATCATATTTCTTTTGTTTTACGACATATCAACCTGAATTGGTCATTTAATGTCGACAATATATTTAGGATTTAGGAATAGAATATGTATTTTTGTATGAAATCAATATTGTAGATTCTTTTTTGTTTTACGAATATCAACCTGAATTGGTTATTTAATGTCGAGATATTTAGGATAGGTTTTTTTTGTTTTGTACGGCAAGAAATCATATTGTAGATCAGCTTTTTTTTGTTTTACGGCATATCAACGTCAATGAGTTATATAATGGCAACAATATTTTAGGAGAGATTCGTATAAATAGAATATGTATTATTTGTAAGAAATTATTTGTAGATCAGGTTTAATTGACGTATTTTTGTAAAGAGGGTCGAAAGTCAAATGAATTGCTGATAACTTTTTTTTTTCAAAAAATGTTTTGATGGTATTTTTACTATATTTTTTTATATATTCTATTATAGTGTTTTAACGACAATTTGTTGAGGAAACTATTTGTCCATAGCTGGGGCCCTAACAGGTGCTACCACCGAGTCAGAACTGACCTGGAAAAAAACAGCAATTAAGAGATGGTTCAACGCTCCTCAAAATCTCCCGATCAGAGACCTTACTGCCGGTTGTAGTTTATCGTCATACACAGGATGACTGAAAACTAAGCAAAAACCCTGTTGACTTCAGTCGATATAATATCATAATAGTAATATTATGCGTCCTCATTAATTGACCGATCAGCCAGGGCTAGCCGAGTTAAGATTGTCTTCACTCACTGATCATCAGGATGAGATCAGTGTGTAGTATCAGTTCATCTCATTCATAATAATAACGCCAACCGTTTCATTATAAGGAAAATATTTGTTAACCGTGTACCCAGCCCTACTTTCTGTTGAAAATTATAAAATTTCTATTAAAACAATTTTTTCAAGTAAATAGATTTCTTCAGTCAACAGTTATCGCTCTTGTAATGGGGATTTAGTGTGGAACGTCACGTCAAGATCTTGATTGTCTTTATTTGATCTTCAAGATATATATGCTATCCATTTTAGCTGTTGCAACTGTTTGGAGTCATCAAGCTTTGCAGTATCTTTTATTTGGTAAAGTTATTTGTGATTCGGTAGCGCCAGAGTTTAGAAGAAGGATGAACCTCGTTAGACAAAGAGGGCCATTCTTTGAGGATTGCTTTTTCCTCATTGATCTGAGAAAGTGGTTGTATTATCCTTTTTTTTAAAATTAATTGTCTTTGGGAAGAGGAGTAACCGTTAGTATATGTGAAAAAAGAATGGTTGACAACGTCAGATGCATAGATAGATAGATAGATAGATAGATAGATAGATAGATAGAAACAGGCTTAGATAGATAGATAGATAGATAGATAGATAGAAACAAACTTTGGTTAAAATGTATATCTTGGCGCGTGTGCAT